GAGGAGGAGCAAATTTGAGGCAGAGGAGTGTAACTGCATAGGTAAGAGCACTGATGCAATAGCATGCTTGATGTGATGGAGGAAGAAAGGAGGTCTGTGTGCATGAAGCAAGAACAAGAATGTAGGAGAGGCGATTGGAAAGATGGTGTATGTGCTTTTCTGGGGAAAGATAGATAATAGGAGGCTTTTGAACTTTGTGTAAAGAGAGAGAGAGAAAGAGAGAGATAGATATGGATGGATTCTGTAAATATACTGAGAAGAGTAGAAAGCAGGGAATTCAGCTGATACTTGTACATGAATGTTCATAAAACATTATTCACAATAGCTGAAAGATGAAAACAACTCAAGTGTCCATTGACTAATTAATGGACAAAGAGAATGGGGAATACATACAATGGAGTATTATTTAGCATTAAAAAGGAAGGAAACCCTATCACAATGCTACAGAATGGATGGACCTTGAAGACTAAGTGAAGTTAGCCAGACACAAAAGGGAAAATATTTTTCAATTCCGTTTTTACAGGGAGGTACATATAGTAGTTTAATTCATAGTGACTTAAAGTAGAATGGTGATCCAGAGTCTGTGGGAAGAGGGAAATGGGAAATTGCTGGTTCTCATTTTTTCCAGACTACTTCTTTTTGCAGGTATATTTTTTTGTTTCATATATATTTTATAAATGGAAATCCAGTGCTAAATAGTTAAAAAAAATAAGAAGAAAAAATGTCTTTTAAAAAATTTTTGTTTTGCTTTTCCTAACATGTATATCCCATATCACTATTGTCTTTTCTTCAATGAAAATTATATTCTTAAGGAGTAAATTCATGGATAAAATAAGAAATAATTGAAAAGTATTTAGGGGATTATGAATATTATATTTAACATAGTACTTTCTGTATCTGAAAAGCTAAAGAATTATTTTTTTTCCACTACCTTCATCAAACCTAATTATTACCAGTAGGGCAGGAGGGTTTGTGAATGTAAGAATCTGTCTCCTATCCTTCTATGTACATATCTACCTATCATTTCCTTATAAATATTTGCAGTGATAACCAAGTTATATGTTAAGTCATAGACTCACATATATTATAATAGAAGAAAATCTGGGTGTATGGGAGGAAGTTTAATAAGTCTATTCATTTTTATGTCTCAGTTGTGGCAAGAGAACAGACCTGACTATGTCAACATCCAGCTGTACCTCAGTCAAACAGATGGGATACAGGTATGTGGTTGGATGTTATTGTTAATTAAACAAGCCTCTTGATAGTTGAAGATTTACCATAGGAACTGTGCTGGATGAAAACTTCTGCAGGTGGCTTGAGCAGAAGTTTCCTAGAGAAAGGCCTCATTTGAAATACATCCAGGAAACTCATGGCCTGTCCTTGAAATCAGCCCTTTTGCCTTTCACTCACCCTACTCACAGCAGGCTAGAGCAGACCTGTTGATTCCATCTCTCCCCACTTTAAAATTGCTTCATATTCACTATCTCTGGAGACTGGGCAAAAAATGAATAGGCTTGAGGTTTTGTTTTTGTTTTTGTGTTCATAGAAGGGAGGTGTATGTGGAGATTTATTATGAGCTCATACAAATTAGACATAGTTCATTCCAAGAAAAACTAAAAAATAGAATAAAATAGCTATCATACATTGCTTATTTACAATGTGGACACCATGCTAAGAATTTTCCATATATTATCTTCTGTAATCCTAAGAGGTTTGAGAAGTAGATATTTCCCTGTTTTTCAGATAAAGAAACTATTATTTAGAGATGACATTGAACAGCTACATGGGGTGATAAGTCTTGGAAATGCTTTCCCAGATTTTTATTACAGTATTTTCTATCATACATTTTTACAATATTTTGAATAAAAATATGAAGGATTGTCAGTTACCTCAAAACTATTCTAATTAGATTTCTACTGTACTTGATATGTAAAAGTATTTCATTTTATCATACATATGAAGCATCATTTTTTCCTCATGGCATAATTATTTAAGATACAAATCAAATTTATACTTTGTGCTTAGTTTGTCTGCCTGGAACTCAGACACTTTCTCCTGGCTTCTCACTTCACTCTGACTCTTCACTATCTATTCAAATCCAATATTTCTTTAATTACAGAAACTAGCCCATTACTATCATTTGTTGATAGAGCCAAGATTTGTAGCTCTGCTATCTTAGGCTATTTTGGCTAGGAATATTTCCCCAAATGCATGATGACAATTGGTAGTAATTTACTCATAATGAATTGAATGTGAGTAGTGTATTTATGTGCAGATACTCAGTGAAGTTTAGATGCTGAGCCTTTTTGCGAGTGAGTGAGCAATTAAAATGCATTCTTTATCTGTGGTTTTTTTTTAAATGAAGCAACTAACTGAAGTCTAGGAAAATAAATCACATGTAAAAATGGCATTCATGGAGATAATGGATTTTTAAGGAAATGATACTATGAAATGATTGTGCTTAATAGGTTTCCATATGATACTTATGTTCTTCATATCACAGCAATTTTGTAGGAAGATAGAGAGCACCAGCAGAGCTGATGTAAGAAAACAGAGTCATTTACTCACATCTGAAGATCATTTAAAATATAGTGCTTCTTTTTTGGCAGAAGATAATTGGAGACAAATATCAAGCACTGAATTCAAGACTTTTTATTGGACGTCCTCGGTGGAAACTTATATTTGATGAAATAGCAAAATGTAACAGGGGGTAAGTGCTATATCTCAAAAAAAATTTGACATGTGGCTAGTGATTACATCAAAATATTCCAAAACCATTACATGAAGTATTTAAAAATGACTCAGCAATAAGTTTACAAATTATAACAATTTAAATACTCTGTTAGAATCAGAGGAGTAAGCAAGGCAGGAATAACACTATATCAGTAATGTCAAATAATTACATTTTGACTTAGAAACAGTCAATAAAGGAATTTTTTGAACTAGACTCTTCTACATACTTTTAAATATGTGTAAACTCATATTAAAATGAGGGTTTATACCCACAGCATATATCTGATAAGCATGGGGAAAGTTTGTAAAAATCATGTTGGCTAACAAGGGAATTTCACCAATAAATCTCACAATGAATGCTCTTAAAAATTAAATGTTTGTACTTTATAATAAGAGTGAATGATTAAAAAAAACAGCTTTCTGAGTAATATGAAGACTCTAAATTAGAAGTATTTCTATGCCTAATTTTTCTTCTTGGAAACTATAACTCTATCAAGCATCTTAGCATTAAGGGAAAGGATTTTGAAAATTATATGCCAACTCACACCTTTTGAGGCTTACATTTAAACAGTTGCATTATAAATTTAAATAGTTTCAAATAATATAGTTTCTAACAAAATGAAGATACTGACATTTTTCAATTAAATTAATCCCTTTAAACATATCCACTAGAATATAAATATAATAAATACCTGATAACAACCTCATTTATTATAGTGATATACAATCAAGTTCTTTATTAGCAATTGGAAATTTTTATATAATTTTCCCCTTTGAACTTGTATTTCTATTCTATTAACTCACAGAAATGTACTGAAATTCAACATATTTTTACATTTGGATTAATCACATATTTACTGCTGGACTACTCCTGCAACAATAATGCATGGATATTGAAAGTTTCACTTTTAAAATCTCATGTGAAAATAAGATCCATCCAGTGTTAATTGTTTCTTCTGACTTTGAGTAATCATTATAATTATTAGTATGTTCTGTTGTTTAACATAGACATTTTCTGAGAAGTGTATCATTAGGCAATTTCATTATTGTGCAAACATCACACACATCACATCAGAGTGTATATAAATAAATCAAGATTGTATAGTCTAATGCATACATGGCCTATTGGTATATATTCATATAGTATACTGCTCTTTGTATTTATATCTATCTGTCTATCTATCTATTTACAATAAATCTATTTGCCCCAGAGCCATGATGAACAGAACAATGTTAGATTAAATCACACACAAAATGATATGATCAAGAATCACAAAAAACAGATTTATGAGGCTGCCACTGTTGTAATGCAGAATACTGTTTTTTTTTAAGACAGAGAGAGAGAGAGAGAATTTTTTAATATTTATTTTTTAGTTTTCGGTGGACACAACATCTTTATTTTTATGTGGTGCTGGGGATCGAACCCAGTGCCCCACGCATGCCAAGCGAGTGCACTACTGCTTGAGCCACATCCCCAGCCCCCAGCATACTGTTTTATTGTACTTTTTTCTTAGTAGTACACTCCAAAATAATAATAAAAAGTATAGTACAGTAAATCCATAAGCCAATAACATAGTTGTTATTATCAAGTATTATATATTGTGCATAATTGTATATACCACACTTTAATACAACTGGCAATACATCAAGTTTATACCAGCATCACCACAAACACATAAGTAACTCATTGTGCTATGACATGACAGCTCTGACGTCACTAGGTGATAGGGATTATTATATTTCTATTATAATCTTATGAAACCATCATACATAATACATAGTAGACTAAAATGTCATTAAAATTTCATTATCCAATGTGTAAATGTAGCCAAATAGTTCATAATAATCTCTTTTCTTTTCCTCTTTTCCTTTACTGCTGCTAGGAATTGAACTTAGGGCTTCACTTATGCTTGGCAACCATTCTACCCTTGAGCTACATCCCTGTCCCTTTTAGAAGTTTTATTTGAAATGGAGTCTTGCAAAATTGCCCAGGCTGATCTGGGACTTGTGGTCTTACTTCCTCAGCCTCCCTAGTAGCTGAGATTATAGGCATGTACCATAAGACCAGGCACAACTCATAATTTTAAAATATATTTTAACAAACATCAAAAGGATAGTTGGATATAAATGCATGGACCAATTCACTGGAAAGTTTTAAAGAGGCCCCCTTAATTTATGAATTCGTGGATGAATATTATTTATTGAAAGGACCACTGACTCAAGATGATCTGATTCCACCCTCAGAGATTTTGTTTTAGAAATTATGAAATACAGCCTAAGAAGAATAATTTTAAAAGAATTAAAGTCAACCATGTGGTTCAGGTTGTATCTATGTTTGACATCATTTCTGTAGCACTTCTCTTTCCTTGATGAAGTAGTTTTGGGGATGAAGCAAAAAGCATTATTTACAAAGCAGAGATGCTTTGCAGTATTCATGCTCCTTGTAAAGGTGAATACAGAAAAATATATGTTGGCCTCATTTTTGCTATGTTCCTTTCCTGGGATCTCCCCCCTGAGATGTGATAATCTTGTACTCATCTAACACTTACTGTGAACCACAAACATGTTCCTCTTTAATGAACCTCTGACAAACATTCTTTTATAGTTTTCATAGTATATTGTTGAAAACTTCAACATTTTCTTTTATTCATTTCTACAGCTGAAGCCCAAGACAGGAGAGGATAATTTACAGGAAATTAGGTTGGGATTATTGGTTTCTTTCGTTAATTTGTAAGAATTCTTATTTGTTATGCCTGTCATGTTTTGAAGCAATCTTTATTTTTATTTGGTGGTTTATTATTTTTCTTGAAACAGCAGGGCTTGTTTAAGAGTAAATGTGCACCATCTACTGTTGACATTTTGTACAGCTCTTCGCTTTGTGTTTGGGCTCTGGGGCAGGCACCCAAAAGTGGTTATTTTTTCAAGGATTTTTGCATAGCATGCTTAGAAAAGAATGGATCAATCTCTTAAGAGTTCATTAATTGGACAAAAGGCTCTGTATAAATAGAAGATTATATTTCATATATCTCATATATGTAAATTGCTGAAAGAACATACTAACAGGGATAAGAGGCATAAAAATTAAATTTTAAAAATACTGTATGTTGAGCAATTATTTTTAATTTGTAGGAAGTGATTATTAAACCAGTAAGCATTTATCCAGTGTACTATGTAGAATACAGATTTAAATTAAACACTAAGGACCCAGAGGTAATAAAGAGTAATTCTTTGCAATGTATTCTTACAAGAGCTTTAAAAAGCATACGAGTGTAGAAATACATAGTACACATATATGCATGTTTATATACATTTATATACATATATACATATTTATTTAAATATATATATATATATTTTTTTTAAATGTATATATGTGTATATACTTTAAAATGTAAACCTTATTTTTAATAAAAATTGAATAAATATACAGTATATAATTCTTCAACTTACTTTTTCGTGGCACACACATATTGATCATGGATAACTTCCATGTAACATTACCTCACAGTGTTTTAGGATATGGACAATATAACATTACTCTCCTAATGATGGAAATTTATGTTACCTCTAGTTCTTCATTGTTACACATAGTGCTAAAGTGACTATCTTTGTACAGACTTTCTCATGAGAGTATTATAGTAGGTTGGTTACAATATTTGAGGTAGGATTTCTGGTTCAAAAGTCTGCTCATTTTAGATATTGCACTATCCAAAACAAAATGCTTGATCAATTTACCTTCCATGTGTATAAGAGAGGGGTTCCTTTCTGTTTGGGCTTTTTTTTTTTAATTCAGAAAATGAATTGTGTGATGGCATTAGATGATCATGGAAAGTGAAGGAGGTTTTAAAATCGTATTGATTTCATCATTAGTTTACAAATGTACCTGGGACACAAAAATGTAATGATTTATCAGAAGCTATGGTTAAATGAGTCAGAGTTCAGACTTTGGCTTACCCCAAATTATCTTGGCAGTCTTATTTTACCATGTCTGTTTTGGAATGTGGGATAGCAGGTGCCATGTTGAAAGAAACTCCCATTTGATCCACCATTTGACCCAGCTATCGCCCTTCTCGGACTATTCCCTGAGGATCTTAAAAGAATGTACTATAGGGATACTGCCACATCAATGATCATAGCGGCACAATTCACAATAGCTAGACTGTGGAACCAACCTAGCTGCCTGACATGAAGAATAGATGAATGGATAAAAAAAAAAAATGTGGCATCCATACACAATGGAGTACTACGTAGCACTAAAAAATGACAAAATCATAGAATTTGCAGGGAAATGGATGGCATTAGAACAGATTATGCTAAGCGAAGCTAGACAATCCTTAAAAAACAAATGCCAAATGTCTTCTTTGATATAAAGAGAGCAACTAAGAACAGAACAGGGAGGAAGAGAATGAGGAAAAGATTAACATTAAACAGAGACGAGTGGGGGGAGAGAAAGGGAGAGAGAAGGGGAAGCATATGGAAATGGTAGGAGACCCTCAATGTTACACAAAATTACATATAAGAGGTTGTGAGGGGAAAGGGGGCGGGTAAACAAGGGAGAGAATTAAACAACAGCAGATGAGGTAGAGAGGGAAGATGAGAGGGGAGGGGAGGGGGGATAGTAGGGGATAGGAAAGGCAGCAGAATACAACAGTCACTAATATGGCATTATGTAATAATTGTGAATGTGTAACTGATGTGATTCTGCAATTTGTATTTGGGGTAAAAATGGGAGTTCATAACTCACTTGAATCAAATGTATGAAAGATGATATGTCATGAGATTTGTAATGTTTTGAACAACCAATAAAAAAAAGAAACTCCCATTTATGTTACATATGTTCATATTTTACAGTAAGATACTTAATGTGGTAAAGTATTAATAACTAATTTTTGAAAGCATAAAGAGATATTCTGAGTATTACTTTGTAAACTCCTTAGTATTGAATAACCTGTGAAAATATTATGTACCTAACTCCAA